CGGGCGCCACACGTGCCAGCCGCTGCGGCGCGGGCGCGACCGGGGCTCCCCGTGCCGGGCTGCGGGCCACCTCCTGGGGCCGTCGGCCGCTACCCTCGCGCCCCCCGGCACAATTCCCGCGAGGACAGAGGCCTGGGGACCTTAGGGGACTTGCACTCTTCCCTTCGGGTTCTTGTCTGCTGTGGATGTCCCCGACCCCGTGCGCACTCAGATCGTTTCTATGCAGAACCTGCCGTTGATGGCCCCCTGCAGTGAAATAAAAGGCATGCCGGATTCTGTACTAGTGTTAGCGAGATCTATTTACCGTAGCAGGCGCTAGTAAGAAGTAACAAATCAGTCGTGTTTAGCTGTCGAGTTCCTTTTTTTTTTTTTTTTTTTTTTCCCCAATAAATTCTTTTTTCCTTGAATGAATTTTAAATAACGTTTGGCACCATCATTTTAGGACTACTGGGTTTTCACCTTTAAAAATGAGGTTGTGTTAAATGAGGATTCTTTTTTTAAACCTGCCAGCGGAGGGTGGGAAGTTCAAGACCAGGGGTGGGCAACTTAAAAAGAGTTAAAAGTAAGGGGGGTTTTGTTGTTGCTTTTTTAATGTGTTTGGTACAGGGCCTCACTATGCAGCTTGGACTCATAGTGATCCCCTTGTTTTGAGCCTCCGCAGGTGCACGCCACCACACCCAGACTTAGTGACCAGCTCCAGGGGCGGGGCCGGCAGGGCCTGTAGTGCCAGGGATCCAAACACCCCCGCCCCTGTGCTTGCCTAAGCAAGTGCTTAGTCCGCTGAGCTGTCTTGTTGGCCAAAAGAGTCACAGTAAGGTTAGGTAGGTTTTCAGTTGTAGACTCCTTGCCTAACAAGCATAGGAACTCAGGTTCAATCCCCAGTACCTTTAAAAAAAAAACAAAACATGCTGGAGTCTTAAAGGAAAGGTTGGTACTCCTCCCTCCCCTCCAAGGCAGGGCACAAAATTGTATCTGTTGCTTACTTTCCTATTTTGTGAGGCAATAAACTCTGTAAAACAATTTATTATAGATGCTTCAGATGAACTTTGGTGCCCTCCTTTGAGAGACTTCTAGTAGGTGACTTTTTTTTAAAATAAAAAGGACATATTTGCATAGATTTGGAAAGTTTAGTGGCAGTTGGATGTTTTTTAGTTCTTTAGGCCGAAATAAATGATTGTTTTTTAGAACAGTGAGGTTTTCTAATTTTCTTTCTTTTCTGTTTTTCCATGGATTATCTACAGTTATGGCTGCAGCTTCTATTGCAAATATCATAAAAAGTTCACTTGGTCCAGTTGGCTTGGATAAAATGTTGGTAGATGATATTGGTGTAAGTATGTTTTTGGGTTTTTTTTTTTTTTTATTTTAGGGAAGGGTCTACAGGGTGTTCATAGTCTCACTACTGGATCAGACTCGAAGTGATCCGCTTGTTTATAGCCCCCTAAAAGCTGGGATTATAGGCACTCACCACCATGCCCAGTCTCAATTGCCCTTTCCAGGTGTCCTGGGGGCGGAGCCTGCATGTTAAGCCAAGGGATCAAACCCTGGGCCCCTGCACCAGCTGGCAGGCACTTTAATCCGCTGGGCTATTTGGCTGGGTGTAAGTATGTTTGACTATCATTTTATCCATCGTTTTTGCTCTATAAATTACTTTTCTGAGTCCTGGTAGTAGGAGGTAAATGTTAACATTGAATGTGCATCAGTTGTATTAACTTAGGGGGCACCTTGTTCCTATAGGTGATTGATGTTACCGCTGTTTACTGTCTTTTCCTAGGATGTAACCATTACTAATGATGGTGCCACCATCCTGAAGTTGCTGGAGGTAGAACATCCTGCAGCCAAAGTTCTTTGTGAGCTGGCGGATCTGCAAGACAAAGAAGTTGGAGATGGAACGACCTCAGTGGTAGGTGGGACACTGGTAAAAGAATAGTTGTTTTATCAGAGTCATAGCCATAACTTAGTCATTTGCTCTGGATCTGAAATAAATTTGGTATTTTAAGAGGGAAAATATTACTGTTTGGCAGATAATCCTGAAACAGAATTTGAAAGCCAATGGTTATAGCT